ACCTTTGGTCAAACTCTGTTGGCTTCGGCCCCAAGTTATATTTCAATGACAAAAAAAAAAGAGTGTTACAAATAATACAAGCCATATAGTTAATTTAACCGTATTACTTAAATTAAACCGGTGGTTATTTATGGGATATAGTCTTGGGCTTACTTTTTTTTTTAAAACAAATTATATGATCTAGTTTTGGGCTTAATATTAAGGAAAAACTCCAAAAAATATTGAATAAACTTTTCACCTTAATGGATCAAAAAATTAATTATTATTTTTAGGTCCAAAAGATATTCAATATTTTTAACAAAACAAAATTATCTATTTTTAAACATTTATTTAAATCATGTACTTTAAAACATGTTAATGTATTTTTTATTTTAAATAACAATCTTTGTTTTTTGAAATTTCAATGGTAACTTTTAAATAATTTATTGTTTTATTTTCCTTAAATAATTTATTGATTTAAAAAAAAAAGCAAAACCAAAAACCAAATCTAAAAAACTAAAATCCAAAACCAAAAGCTGAAAACGCAGGTTATATTTTTTCTTTTGTTTATTTACAAAATAAACTATTGCAATTTTCTCTAATTTTTTTTAAAAAAAATTCATTTTTAAGTTAGATGTTCGATTATTTGAGATTTGTTTGTTGGTAATATCAATTCAAACTAACTCATCGGTCTAAAAATTGAAAACTCAAAACAAAAACTAAAAATCAAAAATAGAAACTTAAAAACTAAAAACTAAAATCTAAAATAAAATCTAAAAATAAAATCTGACACTAAAACTAATGAAAAACAATCAGCACCACAAGTTTTGATGAACTGATTTTATACCAAAATATTCTTTAAATTAAGAGAAAATCCAAATATACAAATTTTTAATCATAAAAATTTTCGCGCTTCAAGCGCGGGTCAAAATCTAGTTCTTAATTATTTTGTAGATTCAGTTTGAGATATGCATACTTGAAATATTAGATATTGTTGCTATCCAATAAACCGGTGCACCATATTACAGTAGTACCACTAGGGTTGGGCATTTTATCCGTTAAATTTGATTTGATTCGTTATTCGTTTCGATTTGATCCAAAAATTTCGGATATTCGTAAACTTTTGAATCAAAGAAAATACTAAAAATTAATATCCGTTAAAATCGAAGTAAATCACAAATATTAAAATTTTGGGAAGCGGATATCTGATCCGATCCGGAAATATATAAATATATGTATATCTTGATTATATTTAACTATTTAAATGTATAAAATTAAATAATTATTATTCTAACACATGATTTTGAACAATTCTATTCACATTATTACTTATATAAAAGTATTACATAAAAAGAGAGAAGAAATTTATGATAGTTATATTTTTTTCTTAAATTTTGTGTTATTATAATTATAACTTAAACTTAAAAATTACAAAATATATAAATTCACTTGTTGTTTTTTTAATTTTTATTTTATATATCATGCAAAAAAATATTTTTGCAAAACAAATTTGCATCAAAATTTTAAGATTATTTGTATTAATCAAAATGGATGAGATATTCTTAAATATTCGTAAATATCCACAAATATTTATTTATTTTCCGGATATCCGTTTTTCCGGATCTCCGTATTTTTTGAATCAAAGCAAATACCAAAATTGTATATCTGTAACATTCGAAACAAATCACAAATACCTTGAAAAACCTGAATATCCGATCCGTGTCCACCCTAAGAGCACCTTTAACGCATAAACCCATAATGGGTTTCTTTTTCTTTTTTTTTCGTTTTTGTATGATTAAAAAAAAAAGAAGTAAAAATCAATTACGGGCCCGCAAACAGTGATCAAAACCCACAAAAAACGTCGCTTGTTTCACAACATTTATAGACGCGTCTCTTCTTTTCGTGGTCCCCACACCCCCCTTTTCCCTCAAAAACCCACCTTGGATACGTGCGATGCAGATGCCCTAAGTACCACAAACCATTAATTGGTGAAAGATTTTCGTGGGTAAATCTTTAGAATGGGTCCATCATACCATTAAGTCAAAAATTAATGTTTAATCTTTGAATCTAATTGTGAAGATGAGCTCTATTTAAGTCCAGAGTAAACTGGTCTTGTGGGCGAGAAGTAAATGCACTACGATTGCCGTCCCAGACCATGCTCGTTGGATGGGTCCACAGCTTCGTTCCATACATATCATATCATTAAGTCCAAAATGAATGTTTAACCTTTGAATTCCGCCATGAAGATGATCTCTAGTTAAGTCTTGGGTGAACTGGAGTGTGGAACACATGGAAATTGCACTATGCCGTCCTAGACCATGCTCGTTCCATAAACAGACCATCGGATGGGTTCATGGCTTCGTTCCATACCTAATTTTTTTTCAAATTATTTACAATTGATTTGAAAACTCAGGTTTTTCAACTCTCAAACTTGATTCACTGAACCAAAATTTTATATGCTATTTTTATTTTATATATTTTCCGATACGAAAATTTGCCATCATGTCCAACTAATTTCCTTAAGCAATACCAACTACCGTTTTTAGAAAAGATGGTTACGTTTGTTAACGCTTAAAACTTTCGGACAGAACCCAAATCTGTAAAATGAAAAAGGATCTCTATAATATTGGGTCCGATTGGTGTATGGGCTTTGAGGGCTTTGTGGTTGTGTAAAGCCACTAAAGCCAAATATTTGCCAATCACTTTTTTAAGCTTTAGAGATTTGTAAAGCCACTAAAGCCCACTTTTAAAAAAATCTGTTTTTTTGTTCATTTTTTTCTACAGCCATTTTTTGAGACTTTACAACACACTCTTTTTTTGTTGCTATGATAAAAAAACGTGATTTATTTTTATTTTTGATTTTTTGTTCATTTCTTACTAAAATAAAAGAAATAATAAGCATAATGATTAATAAATTCATTTTTATTAGTTAGTTTAAGTTTTACCACCAATAAAAAGTCACATCTTACTATTAATAGACTATTAATTTGTTGAAGACTAAAAATTATAAATAATTGAAAACATCTTGGATAGATTCAAAAAGTATAATAATTGAAAGAAAAATAAATACAATGATATATAAATTCATTTTCATTAGTTAGTTACATTTTACATAGACTACGTGTTGCGTTCACATTAACTCTCGCGATGGTTGATTACATAGATACCCTTAATGAATTGTTAGATTTTAAGATTATTATTACTTTTTTTGTAATTTATTTTTTACATTTTTCCAAATAACATATATAATAAAAAGAAAATATTTCTAAAATTTTCAAAATAAATTTTAAAATGAAATTTTATTTATATAACATGACTTTATTAGAAAGGAAAGTTCACAAATAGTAATACTCCACTAATATATATTTTAAATAACATAAAATATATTTTCAAAATAATAAAAATATATATGTTCGTGAACATTCAAAAATTTATCAGTTACAGTTTATTTTCTAATATTGTTTAAAATCAACATATAATTTGACAAATATTATGAAAATATAATTTGAATTGACTTAACCAAAATAAAAAGTAATTATATTTCAATTTTAATTTAAAAATATATTTAACTCAATATACTCACAAAATGAATGACTCGACTAATCTAATTTATATCCAAATTATCTAACTACAATAAGAACATATAATTGATAATAATAATATATTTAATTTTATAATATTATTTGAGAAGTCAGTTTCCTACGTGTCGCACTCACGTTAACTCCCGCGATGGTTGATTAGATAGATACTCTTAATGAATTATTAGATTTTAAGATTATTATTAATTTTTTTTGTAATTTCTTTTTTATATTTTTCCAAATAACATATATAATAAAAAGGAAATATTTCTAAAGTTTTAAAACAAATTTAAAAACGAAATTTTATTTATATAATATGACTTTATTAAAAAGGAAAGTTCACAAAATAGTAATACCCCACTAATATATATTTTAAATAACATAAAATATATTTTCAAAATAATAAAAATATATATGTTCATGAACATCCAAAAATTTATCAGTTACAGTTTATTTTCTAATATTGTTTAGAAATAAACATATAATTTGATAAATATTATGAAAATATAATTTGATTTGACTTAACTAAAATAAAGAGTAAATAAATATTATGAAAATACATGTATATTTAATCGATACATAAAACTAATTTGATTTGAATTAACTAAAATAAAAAGTAATTATACTTCAATTTTAATTTAAAAATATATTTAACTCAATATACTCACAAAATGAATGAATCGGCTAATCTAATTTATATCCAAATTAAATATCTAACTACAATAAGAACATATAATTTATAATAATATATTTAATTTTATACATATAAATTAGAGGTTGACTCAAAGCATATTCAAAAAAAAAAAAATATTAACCAGTTACAATTTAATTCTTTTGTAGAATTTATATATATGCATGAGACTTAAAAATATTATCATTATATTCATTTATGTAATTTTGAATCAAGCACTTCAACTTATTATTTATTTCTTTTTAAGCACAATATATATTAAGTTATACATAATTTAACCATAGTATATTTACATATCTAAGAATATATTTACATATCAAAGACAATAACGAACCGAAATGAAATAAGAAAATTAATCAAAGTTTTATTATATTTAGAATAAAAATATTATAGCTGAACTCGGAAAATAGATATTATTCAATATACCAAATTGATATATAAACCGACCATTAATCCAAAAAATAATTAAATCGAAAATAATATATCCAAAGTCATATGTATAGTTAGAATAATATAATATATTAATATAAATTATAAATATAAATTGATTCAAAACTAAAATTAAATATCAATTAATTATTATAAAATTTTACTTTTATGAATGTTCATATCCGTGCATGAGCACGGGAAAATCACCTAGTAATTTACTAAATGTGCAAAAAAAGAAAGATATTCTCATTTACTTGGAGAAGAGGAGAAAGTCCCGTCTCCAAAACCTAAAGCAGTCACTTGTTTCCCGCAGCACCTTAACGATGGGCGCTGCTACAACCGCAAGACAAACCTCGTGGATGGTGGCAACGGCAATTGCCGCAGTGGAAGCACGCTGGAATTATCCTGTCCGTTTTTTCAACAAAGATGTAAAGCCTCGTCTCCGTGCCATCGCTGTAACGTCTAGTACACCTTCCACCGCGCCATCTTCTTCACCGGCTGATTTCGTCAGAGACAATCCTAAGGCTAAATCTGAGGCTTCCATGGAGAGAGTTATGGGTCTTAGCTGCTTTGGTCCCACCACCGTTCGATTCTAAGATCATTCCTTAGTCTACTACCATTTGATTCTAAAGCTCTTATTCTTCTCATTGTCATCATTGAATAGTCTTTGATGAATATTTTTTTTGAATTGGATCCTTGAGTTTCTATGTTGACACCTTCAGATTTTTGACTTGAAATTCTCAGAAAATAGTGAGAGTTTTTTTTTCAGGTAACATAGGTAGTTTTGAGTCATGAACTATAGAAATCAAATAGCACATCTTGTAAAGAGTATTACAAGTGTTTTATATTGATAAATGAGTTCTCTGACTTTATTTTTTTGAAACACAACAAACTTCCATTCCATTCAAAAATGTTAGGTGAGGGCAGTAGCATCCTCATTTACTACAACAGCTTGTTTAGCTAGTTCATCTGCAAGTACATTCTGCAGTCTCGAAATCCAACCAAAAGAAATAAATTCAAACTCAGCCGCCAAAACGACAATATCAGAGGCGATGCCATAGAGTTCTGGAACTGGTTTTCCATTCTTAATGCAAGATATAAGAGCAATATTCTCTTAAGGGCACTTAACATTTTTTAGTATTTTTTTTAATGTTTAGGGACTAAGCTAAGGGTTTTTGTTAAGTGAGTTGATTATTGGTGGGATTTTCTTTGTCCCTTAATTTATTATTTAATTATTATTTTTTAAAAATAAAACATATAAAAGAAAAATTTAACATTAAAATTGAAAATCCAAAGAATATTACAAAGTTAAAAATAAACATTTGCCATAAACATGTGGACTTGTGATAGAGTTGAAGGTTTTTATTCGAGACTTGTGACTTATTTTTGACGAACATTTGATTTACGTTGAGAAGCTTAAGAAAATCTAGAGAACTACTCATATTATTTTGATACACTTAAACAAACAAACATAGAAAGTATTAGGAACTTAAACATAGAAAAAGTTCATTACAATACAATCTAATAAGTCATTACAAGTCATTACAATAGAAGTCATAAGAAACAACATAGCATTACAAACAACCACTAAACTACCCGTGACACAACTTAGCCACTCTTTCTGTTCAACCAGTCCTTCAGTAATTGGCGGATCTCTTCGCTTTCAGGACATACACACAACAGTGGAGCTGTTTTGCCATCACCAACAACATTGAAGACTATTAAGGAAGCTATGTCGTATCTGTTATCACAACAGAACTTCCTCCACCCTCCTCTGATGTAATACATGCTCTTTGATTCGCAAAAGAGCAAATTCGCAATCCATGAGTTTCCCTCCTTGTTCACTAGTATCACCTCCTGGCATTGTTTGTTCAACACACTACATTGCTGCGTAGCTGCCGCAGGAAACAGCTGCAAGCACATAACAAATGAAAATTAGTCTTGGTTAAGTTTTGAAATAAACACACAAAATGACTAACTACTTACAAGTATGTCTTCTTCTAGGTTCTTATCTGTGACCTCAACCAAGAAACAGTACTCAAATGAGATAAAATCAGCCCTTGCTCCTGATCCTCCTGATCCATAAAACAAAAAAATTAGGAATCAAAAGAGGACATTGAGTTTTAATTGGAAATTAATAATATTACCTGCAGCATCATGTGAGGAGGCTGCTTCCTTGATCACATGAGGAGTATAGTTAATCTCACAGCAGCTAGGACCCACCGGAGTTACATGAAAGACCATGTGTCTTTCTTTTTTGAAGATGACGATGTCACCGACGCGAAGGTCATGTGCTGTGGCGAATGTTTCCCAACCTCTGGTGAGTCTCGTCCCTTCTTGTATCACCTCCCAAGTCTTATCGGAAGCGTCCGATCTTAACTTCCATGATGTCTTGTTCGTCTTCCCTTCTATGTGATTTGCAAAGAAGGTTAATGGTATGTCCTGGAATTCAGAGAAGAGAAAAATAGGGAGAGTGTGTCTACCAAGCCAGTGTGGAAACCAGGAAGTAGAGGTTTTACAAAATGAGGTTCATGCGGGAACACCATCTACAAACAATAAACAAATGTAAGAGGTAATAAGTTACACACATATAGACATAACCAATGTCATAATCTAACATGATCGTCAACAACATAAAGGCCATCTACAAACATGATCGTCAACAAGAAATGAGAAGTAATAAGCAACCACTTGTTGTTAATGCCTAACCGGAAACAAGAAATGTCTAATCGAAAGTTATTGCAAAGCTAAAAGGCTATCAGTGGAAATGGTTGGTGTGGAAGGAGTAACCACGGCAGTGGCTTTAGAAGTTATTACAGCAAGGAATCTACCTAACAAGTTACCACGGAAACAAGAAATGTCTAATCAAAACTTATTACAGCTTCAAGCTATCTAACAAATAACCATGGCAATGGCTGTATTAAAAACACCTAAACATTTCAAATTTTCATAGTTTGAAACTCAAATTCAGTAATTATCTATTAGAATAATCATATCATCTATAGGAATTTCAAATCATATATCCGAAACAATCATACAATGTAAGCACACTAATAATCATATCATCTAAAAGAAGCAACCATATAACATGTATTTTTTCTTTCGCAAAAAATCATACAATCCAAGTACACTAATAATCGTATAACTGAGTTTCTCTAACAGAAGATTCAATCTCAGAAAGATTCAATCATTATCAGTACGATTTTTCTTAACTACACAACCCTAATCACATATTCACTCTCACAACGGAGGGGAAAGACGTACCTAGTAACGATTTGGTCGATTCTCGAACGATTAGGGATGGTGGGAAACGAAGCGAGCGGAAGAGTTTTAGGTATTCGTCATCGGAGATCTCAAAGTCGGAGGGCTGGGGAATCAACTTTCGGTTCCGGAATCAAGTCTTCGCCACCAGATTTCGTCTTCGCCACCAGAGATCGATTACAAGATCAAATCGCATTCGCCGTTGCCTTCCAGTTTGGTAGAGAAGAGAGAAACAAAGAAAGAAGAAAGTCGATCGGTCATCGCTTTCATTACGAAGGATAAGCTGCCACGTAGCCCAAGGGACGAAAAAATGTCCCTTAGTTAAGGTCCGTTTTGCTCGTCCCACACCATTTTCATTTATTTTAAACCCAAAAAATGTTAAGGTCCGGCTCAGGGGACGCCCGATAACGTTGCTCTAAGCTGTTTGGAGTCAGCTTCACTCCTGATCCTCTGCTCTTTACACTTTATGAGGGCTTTCGCATGGCAATCCCTGATTATTATAAGACTTTTATTACATGATAATTTTTGTAAAAGCTATTAGACAGTGGTAATGATAAATGGTGGTACTGCTTTTTAGTATATATTTTTATACGTCTGTGGTAAAAGGTTACCATTCAAACCCCAGTATATTTTATTACAGTCAAGAACCATATACAGTAACTCCAGTCAAGAACCATATAACTCCAAATTACACCTTTTTTTTTTTTTTGAGCCACACTCCAGATTACATTTAGTTTCTCTGAAATGTGTTATTTTTTTTTTTTTGCTTTAAATTCTCTGAAATGTGTTGAAGAAAGAAAAAAAAACAATAGTAGAAATTAGAGATTAGATGAAGGTACTAGTTATCGTGTACTTCTGTCTAAATATAAAATTGGTATATAATTTAACATTTTACCAAAGAATAAAAGAGGTTGAACAGGTCAATCAATGAGAAAATCTTTTGTAGCTCTGTTAGTTAAGGATGCAAAAACGATGCCCAAAAGTAGGGGATACAGTACATAATTTTAGTAATACCTGAGGGTCTATATTGTAAAACCGGCAAAAATGGATGGGTTCCTTTGACCTTTTGTAAGAAAGCGCAGTCTTGTCTCCGTTTGTTTTTTCTCTGCGCTCCGTTAAAGATGGCGGAAGAGAAAGTGAAAGATGAAGCGATGCAGATCATTGGAATGTTTCAGATCCTTCCGAGACTTGTCGTTTTTGATCTCGATTATACTCTCTGGCCTTTTTACTGGTAACCTTTTATTCTCTCTATTTCAGAACTTGTTTGATTCCATCAAAGACAAAAATATATCAACTGACAGTGTAATTAGGGTTTGAGTTTTGTCTGAATCTGCGAATGAATTAAGATTGTAATTGTAGTATCGAATGATTAATTTTTGGTTTAGGTTTTATCTTATTAGTACTTTTGTGGAAAGAGGAACAATCTGGAAAGTTTGTTTATTTGTTTTCTCATTACAGTGAATGTCGTTCGAAACGCGAAATGCCGTCTTTGTATCCACATGCAAAAGGTGTAATGAGTGCTCTGAAAGAGAAAGGAATTCAAATGGCGATTGCTTCCAGATCTCCCACTTCAGATATTGCTAACACTTTCATTGACAAATTGAACATTAAGTCCTTGTTCGTCACCAAGGTTCGTTTCAAACATGTTCTTTATGATTGTTTTGTCCCGAATTTAAAATTTTGGGGGATTGTTTTCTTCAGGAAATATTTTCGAGTTGGACTCACAAGACGGAGCATTTTCAAAAGATACACACAAGGACAGGGGTGCCTTTTACTGACATGCTCTTCTTCGATGATGAGGACAGAAACATTAAATCAGTTAATACAATACAAAAAAAAACTACTTGTTGTGTTTTCTTGAGCTTTACATCGCATTTGCTTAATATGATGATTTAATTGTTGGGTGTGTGTGAATGTTTCAAACAGGTTTCTAAAATGGGAGTGACAAGTATCTTGGTGGGTGATGGGGTTACACTTGGAGCACTCAGGCAAGGGCTTACTGAATTTACTCAAAACCATAACAGTATCGAGAAGAATAAACAGGTTTGGCGCAACAAGTATTCTGGAAAGGCTGCATCGTCTGAGACCGACAAAGACTGACATTTTCCGGTTTCCAGAGTTGTTACACATACCATTCTATGGTGATGCACCATTATTTACTGCAAATAATTTGCATGGATACGTGAAGATTTGTATTGAAGATTCTTGATTATACCGTACTGATTGGATCCTCATCTAGCTCTCAATACTGGTTTAGTTATATGGATGTTTGTGTTTACTATGAAACTCCCAGAAAATGGTGGTGTTGGTGCCAAGTTGAAATTAGAACTATGTATGTATGAAATGTAAGGGAGTACGTTATATCAATCTCATTCGTACTTCAACAACATAAGATTTTAAGTACCTGGAAATATGTTTTTCAACAAGTTGGGTAGAAGAATAAACAGAACACTGTTGTTTGAGGTAGTCTCCGTATAATTAGAGTGGTGATGCAATTGTAGTTTATTGTACAACTTTTTCATCTTGTTCACTCATGCCCTCCAATTTTTAGATCCTAATCATATCATAAAGGTTTAGATTATGTAGTGGTGGGTTTCGTTAGAAGCATCTTATTGCTGCTTTTTTTTTTCTGGAAGCTTGATATGGTTTTCAGATATACATATAAAATAAACAGATTAAAAAATTCTATACCACCAAATTTTAAACATAATATAACCTCATTTCAACTATTTCAATAATCATATTAAGAAATTCATTCAACAACAAAATAAAATTGAGGATGAATATATTTACGACAAACAAGTTTAAAGAAAGAGATGATAAAAATTAAGAAGAACACCACAAAATAACGATTTATTCAATATAAAACAAATGGTTTTAAAGTAAAGAAAAATGTTGAACGAACTAAACTAAAATAAATTTAAGCAAAGCACGGATCAACAAGTATTTAAAAAAAAAAAACTCATTGACTGATTAAAATGAGTTAATGAACACATGTCCAATAGGTCCTTGTAAATATAGACCAATCCAGATTTCTAGCCCACTTAAGCCCAGTAGGCCGTCAAATATGGGAAAGCCCATTAAAGAGTCATCTAGGGTTTTTCAGTATAAAACAAATCGTATATAGTTCGTTCCGCCTCTTGCCTTCTCGACACTCATCTCACACCGCAGCTTCTCTCAGCTAAAACAATGGTAAAAACCCTAGCCTTGATCTCTCTGTGTTCTTACTCCGCCATGGTTCCTTCTTGATATTCTCTCGCATCTCTTATCAAATGATCTTCATTTTCATTTAGAAATCTATTACACTATTGATAGTTAGATTAGGTGGTTTTAAAATGATAGACTAATGAGATTAGTACGGTCTCTATTGTTAGGTGTTTGTGAAGCCATCAAAGTCGAACGCTTACTTCAAGAGGTACCAAGTCAAGTTCAGGAGAAGAAGAGGTAATGACTTTTTGTCTTTTAAGTTTCTTGTTTTATATTTGTCTGTTTGGTCTCTTTGGTTCTGAAAGGTTTTTACGTTTTTTTTATGCAGATGGAAAGACTGATTACAGAGCGAGAATCCGTCTCATTAACCAAGACAAGAACAAGTACAACACTCCCAAGTACCGTTTCGTTGTCAGGTTTACCAACAAAGACATTGTTGCACAAATCGTGTCTGCAAGCATAGCTGGTGACATTGTGAAGGCTTCTGCTTATGCCCATGAGTTGCCTCAGTATGGTCTCACTGTTGGACTTACCAACTATGCTGCAGGTATATTGAATCTCTATCATATGGTTTTTATTTGATTTGGTTCTGTGCTTATGGGATTATTTAAAAAGACTGTTGTTTTTTTGGTTAAACTTAGCTTACTGTACTGGGCTTCTTTTGGCTCGTCGTGTGTTGAAGATGTTGGAAATGGATGACGAGTATGAAGGCAACGTTGAGGTATGTTTGTTGGGTGTAGTTTTTATATCTCTTACTTTGTGTATTTATCTCAAATAATCCTAAATTTTGATGATTAGGCCACTGGAGAGGACTTTTCTGTGGAACCAACAGAGTCAAGGAGGCCTTTCCGTGCTCTTCTTGATGTCGGTCTTATCAGGACCACAACAGGAAACCGTGTTTTCGGTGCACTTAAGGTATGAACCTGTTCTCTGTTTTAATAATGTCTTGTCAAGTCTTAATATTGATTAATATTTATTTAAAATTTTGGTAATTTATATCCACATTTTAAAACTAGACAAGATATCCATTTTTATAAAGAACAGTTCATCTTACAAATTTGACAAAAAAAACTATGAAATATTTATAATGACATTCAGTATAATAAATTGGTTCATCAAATAAAGTTTCACGGCAGGCCTATAATATACTTTTGTTTTGTATATGGTTATTGTAGGGTGCCTTGGACGGAGGACTTGATATCCCCCACAGTGACAAGAGATTCGCCGGTTTCAACAAAGAAAACAAACAACTTGATGCTGAGATCCACAGGAACTACATCTATGGTGGCCATGTCTCTAACTACATGAAGATGTTGAATGAGGATGAGCCAGAGAAGTTTCAAACTCACTTCAGTCAGTACTTGAAGAAAGGAGTTGATGCTGAGAACATGGAAGAGCTGTACAAGAAGGTTCATGCTGCTATCCGTGCTGACCCCAACCCCAAGAAGACCGTGAAGCCTGCTCCCAAGGCTCACAAGAGGTGAGCACTTCATTTCTTTATTAATACTATTGGCTTGTTAGTGCATTGGTGTCTCATTGTGTGTGTTTGATTGATAAATAGGTACAACTTGAAGAAATTGACCTATGAACAAAGGAAGAACAAGTTGATTGAGAGAGTTAAGGCGTTGAATGGAGCAGCTGGTGGTGATGACGATGATGAGGACGACGAAGAGTAAATCTCTGCAACTCATGATGTCTCTTGTAGCTTTTGAGCTTAATGTCTCAATTTTTCTATTTTCCAGACTAAAACACTCCGTTTTTGTTTTGATATTTCAATTGCGTTGGAGGATTTTTATTCTGAGGATACTATTTTTCATTTTAAGAATTATCGTCTTTTATTACAATTGTCATGATTTGCATGTTAATGGTAAACCAATCTATAATTTTGATATTGTTGAAGACGACAACAACACAGGAGTGCAAATGTTGAGAAGTACAGATTGAACCAGACAGGCAGTTTTATGGCATCTTATACGAATAGGCTCACTGTCACTGATATAGTGATGAGATCTAGTCCCTACACTTGGTTTTTGAAGTCATTTAATTTTCTTTTTTGCACTCGTAAAAAGTCCAATTTGTTAGAATAGAGACGTTTGAAGGGTGTTAAGTGTGGTTTAGTTGTGAGGTTTGTGGATTCAGATGATGCAAGAGATTACATGAGGTATACAACATGGTATGTTTTTACTCTCGCAAACAGACCTACATGTTGGAGACTTGTATGACAGTATGTTTGTTGCAATATCTACTATAGAAAACAAATTATATAGCACTCGGAGAATGACGTTTAGATTTTAGGGAGTTGAAGTAGTTTGAGAGTTGTTCAATCTGGCCAAGAATCAAGTATATCATATGATTGGACAAAACACATATATGTGAGATTTTATTCGGAGCTTCTGCAAAAGTCTTATCTGGAGAAGGTAACGTATGCAGCTGTATTTTGATTTGAGTTTTTGAAGTGTATATATACAATCTTGAAACTGAGACGATTTATCTTGCCCAAGTTTGGTGTCGGATACTTAAGTTGGGTGTCGGATACTTAAGTTGGGTAGTCAAAATCCCTTTACCAATTTTGTGATGAAACTGAGACGATTTATCTTGCCCAAGTTTGCCGCCGGATTTGAGACTCTCCTCTTTGTGAGGGAAACTTGAATTTTATTTGAATGGATGTTTAAAGCTCAGATAATACATTAATTTTAATGAAATACATAACGCATGATGATGAGCTGAAACTTGAGGTGTCTACTACATCTTTTCTCCTGCTAGAAAACGGGTATAGAGTCCAAGGCTTCATGTGGTTTGTATTCTGGAACGGTATGTCCTGAACCCTGCGACACAAAACATTCGAACATCAAAACCCCATAACAAAAGTAACTTCCATCTATAAAATACTAAGAAAACGAGTGATTCTTACCTTGATAGTTAGAAATGTGAGGTTGTTGGCATACCCTTGTGTAAATCTGTGGTACCAAATTGTAGAAATTAACAGAGAAAATTGAGAAGCAGAATCGGTAAAAGGAGAGAGAGAGTTAAAGAAAGACGAAAAGGATTACCCGGCGACTTGGTTATTTGACATCCATGGCCTCCATTCATCAACCACTTTGTATCCCATTGACTTAGTCCATGCTTCAGAGCCAGTATATGGTACACACATGTCATGATCTCCGCTGCACAAGTAGAAAGATCTCGTTGAAACATGTATAGAACGGATATTTTGCCACTCAAAGTCTCTCTCTCTTGGCCATGAGAGAATAAAAGATAATGATGATCGTATGTTTGATCCACTAGGCGTGTCTTTTATTCCACTCAAACGACCATGCAACCTTAGTTTCTACATGTTTTCTTTAGTTTTCAGTACCTGAAAATTAGAGCACGATAGCCGGAAAGAGTGAGATTTCTATGGAACTCGATCATGCTTCCAGCATCATGAGTGTATGCGACTTTTTTTGTACACAATTCCCATCTTCCGATCTCGCTTTCCTATCAACGTTCCAGACATAATTGTAAGATGTCCAAAGATTTTGTATTGCAAAAATGAAAAGAGAAACATGTAATGATGATGAATCCTATAGAGACCTCTTTAGCATGAACTGCTTTCCTCACCGCTGGATCGTTCAGCCAAGTTGTTGCGACTCTATCGTCCTGTACAGGGGCGAAGCTAGAGAATATATTGAATGGGTGCATTATTGGTAATAAACTTTAAAAATGTATGAAAAAGATTTGAACTCAAGATCATATGGGTGCATAGGCTGAGTTTTGCCATCTAATTCACCAAAATTTCAATGTTTTGTCTTTAAAATTGTGAATATCAATATAATTATGGGTGCACTTGCCACCACTCCTCATAAGGTGGCTTCGCCCCTGGTCCTGTATCCACACCAAATGTTTACGTAAGTATTTGAGAAATATTAGTAAGAAAAATAAAATACTAGTGAGAAAAAATTTATCATAACTAGATAGATACGCCTATAAAATACTAGATACGTCGTTAAGTACCCACCATGCAAGAAAGTGAGGAGCCAGCAAGGATTTGAGGCCAACTAGGGAGAATGCCTGGACGCACAACAGTACCTAGGGGCCACGCACGTCCAAACATTCTCTTTCGCACTGGCAAAGGCCTTTCTGTTTTCCCCAGCTCAAGGAAACTCGGAGGAAGAGATCCCATGTCAAATGCAGATACCGATGTTTCATGGAAGCACGGTTCTAGGATGTTATATATGTTCAGTAAGCTCACATCAGCTGACACTTTTCGAAGCAACTCTGCACATTCAATACTTCTGTCTGGCTTCTTATGGTAATCTCCTTTGCACACCGCTTTAGTCTCCTGCCAGTTATTGTTACACATTAGGTAAAAGAATTGACGAATAAAGCAAAGAGGTTATAAGAAATTGAAAGGCAAAACCAAACCTCATATAGCTCATTAGAGATAAGTCCCATCCCATGTGCGAAGGGGACAAGTGCGTTACCATCAAACACTGGATCAGTAACTCCATTACCCACCAAATATCCCTATACAATATATAGGATAAACTAATAAAATAAAACCATAATGAACTTTGAATCTGAAACAGTTTTATAGTTATGGTTATCCATTAGTCGTACCTTGAAATTGATAACTGGCATTGTCACATTCTTACTTGTTTTATTTTTTCTCATCACATTCGTATTCCCTACAATATAATAAGAGTTGAAGAGAAAATTGGAAACCACATTTTTTTTTGTTAACATATGAAAATGATTTTAACATATAATACTAAAAACGATAGTTATATAAATGACCTTTGACAACTTCGGAAGCAAGAGTTGGCACATAGACACCAGCATATGATTCTCCAGAGATATAGAACGGATTTGACTGAAACTCAGGAAACATCTTGAGCCACTGTTGGACATTTTTTTTTTGGATCTAATAGTTAATTTCTTGAATCACACACACAAATACAATTATACCATTGTTTGAAAATTTGTGACATTCTTATTTCACCTCGATAAGGAATGCGTGAGAATCGTACGCAGTTTGTGTATCATTAGCTGTATAATCAGACTTGTCCTTAGAGTAAGAGTACCCCACACCAACTGGGGAGTCAAGGTATATGATGTTAGAAACCTGAAAAAATAAACATTTTCGAAAGATTAACAATTTAACATTGTCATATTTATAAAATTCGTTGTTCTTAATTTCTCTTCACCTTAGACCAACTATAACGATTAAGATGCAAACGAGCTGCCTTTGTCTTTGTTTTTTCGAAATTGAAAGGACCTGCAATAGTATTTATTACCTTTAACATGCATGTATATTTATTTCTTTTACTTTAAAATTGATCCCTAATCAAGTATCTTGCTTTTGAGACAAGAAAGACCATATGAAACTTACCGTGCTCGTAAATAAATCCGTCCATGCTAGAGCAACCTGGACCACCATTAAGCCAAAGCACAACTGGATCTCCTGAGACGTTTCTCTCTGATTCCACAAAGTAATACCACAGATTCTTTCTACCCTCCTTATCTATTGCTACATAACTTGAATCACGTACCAAATACCATTAGAAAGGTTAAAATCTATAGGAAGAAAATCCAGATTTTTTAGTTAAATATAAGCACGTAAACTGAATTTACCCGGCATAGTGTTTAGATGGTAAACTTCCATTGAAGCCAGAGAGTTCGGTGACAAGCGCAGATTCAGGAGCTGACTCTATTACTGCGAAACCCAAAGACAACAATACTGAAGCAACAAGGAGAGCTTCCATTAACCAACCCATTTTGATAATGAACAGAGTCTCACAACAATTGAAACGTATCTATCATATAAGAATTTTGCACTGCAGATATGTATAGAGAAGAATTAATATATGCCTTTATATAAAAAGGAACACTAGATATAGAAAATAATATAGGAATTTGATGAGATTTAACAATTAGGCAGTACAAGGAAAAATAAAATTAGAACAAAGAAATTTGAGGTAGATTAAGAAAAAAAAACTGCAGAATGAGATTTAACTTAAAGAATCTTTAAGAAACAAAGAAATAAAGAGATTTAAGAGAAATCATTTCTACTATTAAAGATAGATTTTTTTTGGTTCAATTATTAAAGATAGATTATGTTTACAACAATACTAGGTGTTTAGTCCGCGCATGTGTGTATATATATTTTATAATTACTTATTAATACATGCATATTAATTAAAAACTATAATGATAAATTATTATTTATAATTTCATTTACTTTTTTTTACTTATTATAAGTTTTTAAAATTTGTTTTGTACACTATATTTTTATATGATAAATTATTATTTATAATTTCATTTACTTACTTATTATAAGTTTTTTAAATTTGTTTTGTACACTATATTTTTATAATGAAATAAATCTTAAAAATCACTCAATATTCTCATTTCAGTTATATAAAACTAAAAAAATTACTTGATTAATATTTATTTATGTTTTCAGTTTTTAAATGTTACAATTTTTATTAAAAGAATTTTTCTTCAGATAACAACACAATATATATATATAAGAATTATCTTTATATTTTAAAACATATTTTATATTTGGATAATTCTTATTAATTTTAATCGTTTAGCCAATAAAAAAAATAAATTCATTTTTAATTGCTAATATATATAATTTATTCATTAAGGTTGACAAAAAATTAATTAAACCCCACTAACTTTTTAACGTGAGAGCTCGAATACGAAAAATCACTTCAAAAATAATAGTAAAGATACAAATAAAATAATTTTGCTCCATAATAATTTTAAATCTTTCATATTTGTGAATAAAGAGAGATAATGTTAAGAATATGATCTGATTCTTGATTGATAGAGCTGATAACAAAGTAATAGCAATATGTTATAGAAACACGATGCCACACAAACAATATGTTCTGATAAATGTATTTATAAAATGATTGGTAGAGTAGTACGTGATTTCATATATAAAACTATCATAGCAAATTAGTATATGATATATATAATTAGTTATTTATAATAATATACATGTATATATAGGTATTAATTTTTATATTTTATTTACAAAATAAATCATATTAATTTATATGTTAAATTATATTTTAAATGAGAACTATTTTCTTTTTAAAATATGTTAATTTCTTGTTTTTAAAAGATATAAATTTAATTTTTAGATAAAATTTCATTTTTGATATGGGGCATGATATGTTCTCTCCTCCCGGCGCCGAAGCTATCGAAAAAAACCCCTATACCAGTACTCGATAGAAAATAAATGAAAAACAGAAAAAAAAAGCAAGTTTTCCTGTCTCTTAAAGCAAAGGAAAATTACTAAATAAAATAAATAAATTATATTAAATTTTAATTTATTCTAAACAATGTTCTCTCAGGTAGAGTTTCTTTCCGACTGCAACTTCTTTCATGGTGTTACGGTTGGTGTTATATTCCTTTGTTTATTGTAAATATTGTGAAGTTTTCCAATTGGGATCCAGGGATCTTTGCCTCTGCAACAGAGGTTCACGTGATAATTATTAGATGGTTACTTACAGTTTATTTACAATCTCCGTAAGAAGACAAAAACATTATGAGTCACTAACCAAACAATCAAATTCACGATCACTAAACTATCACAGCCAATCTGTTTAACGATGCGTCTCATTTGGGATCTCGGTGGAAGACATACATGATAGGATGATGTTATTTCATATTTAATATCTTTAAAAAAAATAAATAAATTTTGTTAAGTTATATTATATTTTTAAAATAAAAATAGAAAAATTAAATAAAAATAATAATATTTACAAATAAACGAAAAATATTATTAGTGTTAAATTGTTCTTTTTTAAAGATTTTTTTGTTTTTTGTAAATAATATTATTTTTTCTTTATTTTATATTTTTATTTTAAAATATCATATAATTTAACAATATTTTATTTCTTTTTTTTTAAAAGATATCAAATATGAAATAACAATATCATATTGGTTAGTAAATCTAAAGGTTCATCCTAAAAGTTGAACCCAAGAATAACTCTAATATCCATGTATCATCAGTAGAGAAGGATTTTGATAATTTCATAAAAGATACTTAGAGAAATGCTTGGACATAGACAATTTAAAATTTTCAAAAATCTATTTAAGATTGTTTTTTTTGGAATGATAGTTATATCACAACTTTTCACTTTATATAGGAGAATTCAGCCCATGAACTTAGCATGAATTTCCAAAATAAAACTTGTACTCGAACCTGGCCAAAAAAATATTTTACTTTTGTTGTTTTTTTAGTTTCACTACAAGAAAACAAAGCATTTACTAGGAAATTTTACTAAGAAAATTCTTCCTCGTAAAGTTACTAAGCATTTACTAGGATCTTACGAGGAAAGCAAATTTCCTCGTAAGTTCCTCGAAAACTTACGAGGAAATACTTTCCTCGTAAGACCTTAGTAAATTTACGAGGAGCTTACGAGGAAAAAGTACTTTTCCTCGTAATGCCGTAGTAAACACTTTCCTCGTAAAGGCGTAGTAAAA